CCATCTAGGAGCCCTGCTGGCGCAGTGTTTAAGAGGTCGGCAGTTCGAATCCACCAGCAGCTCCCAGATAAGCGTTGTAACAGCTCTAGGTTTTGGATCCATGGGCAGTTTAATACACAGGACTGTTTGGTTGAAGACCTAGGCAGACCTTGCCACACTCAAGCTCAACATGGTGTACAAAACAAAGCCAGGACTGTGGACGGGAGGAAGACACTTCGAATTTTGCAAAAGAATCAGCCGTTGTCTTGCTTAGTGGGGCCCGGCCTCTGAAGCAGAGGTCCCTGGGCGAGCTCGGCGCGGAGGGGGAAGCGATCAGCCGCGCGCTCCCGCGCCACCACCCAGACCGACACGTTGACACTGGGGGCTGGACCAGGCCCTGGCTGGGGATGCTTGGCTTGCCCGCCGGGGGCTTTCTGGAAGGCTGGAGCAGTCTTGGCGGGGAACCTAAGAGTCGGGGGGCCGACCGGTAGCTCCCACCTTCCTCCTGGGCTCCCAGGGAGGTGGCGAGGGAGAGGAAAGGAGAACCTACCGGGAGGGGGCAGGTGCAAGGGGCAGGGAGTGGCGCCAGGGCCGAGCCTCGGAAAGTCCGAGGGAAGACGACGGGGCTGGGGTATGTGGGGCTAAAGTCAGGGCACAAGCCGCGCAGCCCCCTGCCCAGAGTCACTCACCACTCTCCAGTGCTTCGGGCACCAACAGAAGACCCAGCAGCAGCCAAAGCTTCATCTTTAGGAGAATGGGCGGGGGCGGAGAGGTGCTGGCTGTGCCGCGGAGGCAGGGCGCGGGCTGTGGCGCGCAGGCAGGGCGCGGGCTGAAGGCGCGGGCGAGGGGCGTCGCCTCCAAGCGGGAGCCAGAGATCAGGGCGGGCGCCTGGGACGCCGCAGCTGGAGGATTCAGTTGCATGAGAAGGAACACAGCTTTTGGGAAAAAAGTTTGGGGATTTTTTTTTTTTTTTTTTAAATTCCCTGTGTGTGTGTGATGCGCCCTCTCCTGCCCCCTGGCGGAGCCGTGGAGCGCAGCGCACTCTCTCCGGCACGCGGGAGAAAGGGCTAAGCGCGAAAATGTCAATCACAACAGTATTGTGTGCCTTCCAGTTAATTCCGACTCATATCTACTCTGTCGGACGGAGTGGAACAGTCCTGTAGTGTTTTCCTAGGCTGAAATCTTTCTCCCAGAACCGCTGGTGGGTTTGAACCTCCCACCGTTTTGGGTAGCAGCCCAGCGCCAAGCCCTTGACCACTGCGCCACCAGGACCCTTTAATTACAACAGTAACGCGTTGTAGTTCTCCAGTGCTCTGCGTTTTGCTAAGTTTACTCACTCCAAGAAGGCTCAGTGTAATTCTGTGGGTGCTGATGGGATCCCATTTAACCCTAATTGTCTAAACGTCACCAGCACTCGCCCCCGTCTGCTCCGGCGGAGCCTCAGTGCTCTGTAACAACAAAACGTAAAAAACCAGTAGTCACGGAGTGGATTCGCACTCGTGGCGACCCCATATGTTTCAGAGTAGAGCTGTGCATAGGCTTTGCAGTGGGAGTAACCTTTAAGAGGAAACCCTGGTGGTGCAGTGGTTAAGTGCTATGGTTGCTAACCAAAAGGTCAGCAGTTTGAATCCACCAGGGGCTCTTTGGAAACTCTATGGGGCAGTCCTACTCTGTCATATAGGGTTGCTATGAGTTGGAATTGACTGGACAGCAATTTTTTTTTTTTCCCCTTAACCTTTCAGAAGTAGTTTGCCAGGCCTTTCTTCCTAGGTGCCTCTGTGTGGATTTGAGCTGCCAACCTTTCAGTTAGCAGCTGAGCTGTTTGTTCCACCCAGGGACTCCTGTTCTGTTAAATCTGTTGCTTTTGAGTCAAGTCTGACTCACAGCAACCCCATGTGTTACAAAGTAGAATTACTCCGTAAGGTTTTCTTGGCTGTAATCTTTATTTTACTTTATCTTATTGTAGTACTTTAAGTGAAAGTTTACAATTCAAGTTAGTCTCTCATACAAAAATGTATACCTCCATTGTTATGTGACCCTAATTGCTCTCCCTATACTGTGACAGCACACTCCTCCTTTCCACCCCTGATTTCCCATGTCCATTTAACCAGCTTCT